TTTGTGGCTATTTCCTTTTACTTGTCCACTGCTACAGAGATCAGATTACATAAAACCACATTAGTAAAAAATCTTTCAGAAACTGCAGGTCAGAAAAGCCAAATTATCTTGAGAAAAACAGTGGGAAAATAATCTGCACCATAAAAACTGTTTCATTTAGCCAGTTAAAATGAATATAAAGCCAGTGTAATTATTAGTGTAATAATCAAAAAGATTCAATGTAAAGTAGTAGATGAACTTATTACAAATATTTTCAAACACCACATGAAACATAATCTGTCAATTCAGATTATGAGATTATTGAGTGATTTCAGATAAAACTTAAAAAAAAAAAACACCAATCATTATAAGAAAGCCAATTTTTTCTTTCCAAGATAGCTGATCAATACATTCCTTACTTTGATATATGAAAAGATAATACATATAGAACCTGTTTGGAACATCAGTTAATTTACAATTATATTTCATGATTTCAAAAATCATTTAACAACTAAACCTTTAGTTTTTTTATCTATACATTTAAAAAATTAGTATTTTAGCTTTTCTTAAACCAATGTTTTTATACAAAGAAAAAAATTGATCATGTACGTAAATTTTGTAAACCATACCAGTTTAACCAATATCCTACTTATTAGAAATAACTACCACTGAACAAAGAGGTGCATTTCCACAATTTCCTCCACATTTTAAAAACTATAATATCACACAATATACCAATTTTAGTAATGTCCCCTTTTGTTCAATACTGATAAGCCAAATCCTTAGTTTTATTTAAGAAAATGTGAAAATGTGCCATAAGGAATAATATTTGTAGTTAGCCTTTAAATAGTACTTTGCCAGAATATTGAAATCTTACTGGTATAAGAAAACCTCAATTGGAAACTTATAACTATTGTATACTTGTTTTCCAGGTCAAATAATCTTTTAATATTTTCCCCAGGGTATGCAATCCTGTGTATAGGTCAGATGGGCTTTATTCCTTAAGAGGTGCTTTAAAAATTACATTTGGTCAATAACATTTTCTTTGGTAAATCCATAATGAAGATGTAAAAAATTTTCTCTGATATAATTAACACTGAGCTCTTCACACTCAAATACAACAAACCAGATTGATATCAGTTCACTAGCTGGGGATGGATGGATTGTCCAATTAAATTAATTTCTCTGAAAATAAAAGGATCTCTTTATTAAGCCTACCTGCAAATACAGAGTTTTTAAAAAGGACTCATTTATACTTAACCTGTACCTAATTCTACTTTTTGGTAAAATCTATATTAAATATAATAGCATAATAGCAGACATATAAGTATGCCTTAATTTGTAAACATCATGAACACATTTTCTCAAAATATAGAAGCAGAACAACCCATATATTTCTGTACTATGCTGCCAGTTATTTCCTAGCTTTCTGCTAATTTCTATTCTGAATTGTTTGCCCTTGTGTATGTTTCTCATGGGACTGATGCCTAAGATTACAAAAATACTGAAAAAATGACCAAAATTTTGTTGTATGGTCAGGGTTAGGAAAAAATGTGCTTATATGGGCAGGGAGGTTAGAAAGTATCTCCTGTAATGAACAGTATTTTCCTATAAATGTTCAGTGCCAGTTTGATATACCCATTAGATACACACAATGCAAGTAATACTAAAATTTGTATTATGTTGTCAGTTCTGACCATCTTAGCATGGAAAATTGTACCAATCTGGAGATTCATTATGATTTTATTAGCACTATGAGTTTTATACTGCATTCTATCTCCTTATAATCTGACAAATATTCTAATTTTAAAGAGTCTAAACTAACAGTATTTAGTTGGTTTTCAAACAACTTATTTCTAAAAAGCACTTTTAAAAAATTAAAGTAGTACAAATAAGTGTCTCAACCAACTTGATGGTGAAACAATGACAGTAATCATTCAACTTGAAAGCTAAAAAGTCTCATGTTCAGACTGTTTAAGAAAAGTACCCTAAAATTCTTATAGATTTTCTGATCACTGGCATGACTTATTGAACTTTTTAAACTGAAAAACAGATAAGTAACTGAAATACTGATTTTTTTTCCAGAAAACCAAACTTACTTTGTAATATAATCCATGATCAGAAATGGAGAGATCCTCCTTGCCAGTGTTTTTACAATATGCTACCCATAAAGACAGATACTAATATTTTTATTTACAAATGAACATGCAGAAAACTAAATGACACAAACGACTGTCAATAACTAAAGTACACAAAAGTGGACCCATACAAACCTCACAAAGCGAGGTAGGAAAAAACACCCCACTTCATTAAAATATTCACAAAAATAGTGCAAACAAAACAATCTGAAATTATTCTCAGTATTCCAGTGTCTAGAAAATAATTAATTTAAAGCTACTAAGTGGAATTCGAGACTACAGGTTGGAAATATTGAGCTTATGTATCTGACTACTGCATTTAAGACATTTTATGTGATATATACACTTAATGAGATGTTCACTATTCCATCATGGAATCATAAGCTTCACACCATAACATTTTTTTCAGTCATATAAGGAAATATTGCTTTCATCTTCTATAAGCACATTAAGGTCCAATCTCTCTTTACATTAGAAATCAATGGAATCAGATTTATTTAAGCTTTTACAATACTCCATTATGAAATACAATGAACTGGCCACCTTTGCTGAAAGCTGGCTGATTCAAAAATTATTTTAAAATAGCTACAACACTGAACAAAACCATTTCACTGAGCTTACTTTGCATTTAAATAAATCCCCACAAATATAAACAACATGGCAGCATATCATCATTATGTGGCAGAAAATGAGTAAGGCGTAAATTAAAGAATGTACCTATCCTTATATTTGTAAAAGATACCTATTTTTTTAATACTTCCCCATCTACATTTATCACTCTACATTTTTTTCTGGATTTAATACTTTTCTTAATGTGTTGTATTTACCAACTACTAGACCAGAAATGTAAAGAAGCTGCAGAGATGGAAAGTATTTACGTACCATATTTACCATAGTATGGATAAAGAGTGGCAGTGGGGTGTTAATATGCATTTCATGGGAGATGAGGGTTGATTCTGGCTCTGCTTCTTAGTTATACGACCTTGTAGTGTCACAACCTCTTTGAGTCTCGTTTCCTGAGGATGAATGTGTGTGGGGAGACTAATTATCTCTAGGGTCTCTTCTAGCACACAAATTCTGATTCTATAATAAATACGCACAGAAGAGTGGATTTGGTAAGTAAGGGTGGTGATAGGGGATCAGGATATTAAATTACAACTATTTCCTCCTTAGCTTCTTAAAATATTTTCATATTTAAAAGTCTCTCCTAAGTTAAATTTAACTTTTCGTATACATTTAGTTTGCTTTCTAGTAATATGATCTTAAAATTAATGTCATACGAAAGAATTCCCAAACTCTTCTGGTATTTCTTTATATTCCTTAATTCAACCTGGCACAGATGGCACCAAATAGTTTTATTATAGAAAACAAGTATTTTCTAAGTGTCTTTTTCATAGATGGCTAAACTTTTTTAAGGAGGTATAAAAAATATAAAATAAAAGACTGTTAAAGGACAAAGAATGAATATTGCTGGCGTGTATTTGTATACCTGAAATAAAAGTATATTAAATACTAATAAATAATGCAAAAGGAATTTAAAAGCCTGAAATTTTGATAGTTAAACTTTTTTCATTGTAACTATATCTTATACAGGAAATCTCTTAAGACCCTGAATGGAAAGTCTAAACTAAATGAAATGTTTCTTCATTGGGGCCAAATATCACCTACAAGAAAACAATTGTTACAGGGTCCTGAAACATTAATCTATATGTTGGGGCTAGGGATATAGCTCAGTTGATAGAGTGCTTGCCTTACACGCACAAGGCCCTGGGTTCAGCAACACACACACACACACACACACACACACACACACGTATACACGTACAGATAAATAAAATCCTCTAAGATGAATTTTTTTTTCTTGCGATAATGGGGATTGAACCCAGGGGCACTCTACCACTAAGTCCTTTTAATTTTCTGAGACAGGGTCTTGTTAATTTAAGCTTCTAATTCTGGCTTTCAACTTGCCATCCTCTTGCCTTAATCTCCCTAGTTCTGTGATTACAGGCTACTGCACATAGTAGCAAGATGAAAAAATTTCAAATTAATTTTGCAGATATAACAAATGATTTCTTAAAATATTTTCATATTTAAAAGTCTCTCCTAAGTTAAATTTAACTTTTCGCTACACATTTAGTTTGCTTTCTAGTAATATGATCTTAATGGAATTCTTAGAGAATTTTTATTATAGCTTTTACTGTAATTTCATTTATTTGGTATTTCTTTTGTGCTTTTAATTCAAATGCTTGATTTAGATGCCAATACGTGCACAACTTGTTGAATTAAAAACAGCCTATATAAACCAGGTATTTTTGCCATAAAATGAGGAAACTCTGGCCATAGCCAAGATCTCATTCCCTGGTGAGTACAATATTCCTTTCCTTACATACCTGAAACTTTTATAGTATGCTATAAAGTTGTATGCCTCATTTATTTTGGCTGTTCAAAATTTTCTTTTCACTTACCTGGCATCTCTTAAATATTTAAAATATATCTTTGTGATATATTTACATACCATACACATATACATAAACCATCAACTTTTGCCTGGACTTTGGCAATATTCTGGATACTAGTTCAGGTTCTAGTTTTTCATTTTCATATGAGCTGAAAAATGTTACAGACCACCAAATTAAAATCCTTATGAACATGCTAACACCCTGTTTTTTTTAATGCTCTTACAACTGAAAACAACGGGGATTTTAGGTGTGGAAAAAAAAGGCATTTTCTTAGTTATTATCACAAAATTATTTGTAATTTCAATTGGTAGAGATAAAATTTAAAACCATTAATAAGGAGAATACTTGCTTTCTATAAACTCATTTTTCTTTCACAATAATAAAGTAAATGCACAAAGCACTAATAACTGTATTTTGTGGAAGGATAATTTATAGCAGTTCAAGTCACAATACTGATTTTCAAAAACCAAGTATATTCCCTTCTTTTTCAAACATTAGAGCTCGAGACCCAGAAGAGGTTATAATAAATCTTATCAATCAAATCAGAATTTTAAAAAATGTTTTAAAATCAATAATGTACTTCTGTAGCCTTATAGCAGTTACCAAATGCTACTTACATACATTCAACATCTAGCTTACTGGCATGATTTCAAAGTTTTATAAAAATGAGAAACTTTGCAGATTAGAAGATACACAAACTGCATTATACTAAACACAAAGGCAGTGTAGTCCTTATAGGAGAAATCAAGTCAGTACCCCCTGGTAGAAATGTTCTATAAAAATGTGTCACATTGAAGCATCAGTGTTTTCAGCCAACTATCTGTCCCTGATGTATTTCCTTGGAGTATATGATCTATCAGGACTTTAGGTTTATTAATCCAAAATGTCTGACTGAATTTAGGTACATCTAGAAAGCAGCTGAAAGGGTTTCTCCAAGAGTCTAACATCACAGAAAGTGGATTGAGAAATCCCTCTCTTTACCTGAAGACGTACAGTTCTACTTCAGTCATCATCAGCTCACAAAGAAAAAGAAAACACCAATCAAAACCCCCCTCAGACACAATTCCAACAAGCTAAACAAAAACCACCCCTCCCCCAACAAAACCCCAGCACCAAAGTGTCAATCATTCCTGGGAAATAGAACATGCTCCTTGAATTCTCTGATTTGTTAGCTGTTCAAAATTTAAGGACAGAAATGATCTTAAGTCCTTGTGGGAAGAGGGAAGACATGTTAATAATGACTAGAGAGCCATTGAGAAAGTGCATTATCAATTACACAATCAACTTAGAGCCCCACCCTCCCAAAGGAGGTGGCTACAAATTGATTTAAATGCCTCAGTAACTGAACAACTAAGTCCTTGGGATAAAGAAAATGGGGGAAAAAAAGAGCTACCCTCATTTTAATGAAAAAGTGCAGCAGTCCACCACCTTTCCCCATGCTTCTCAAGAAAATGATTGCACAGACTCAGAGAAGTCCCAAGTCATAGCAGAACCTCTGAGGCACTCCTGGTTAAGAGAGAAAAAAATATGATCCAGTAATCTTCATAGTTCTATAGATTATGTGAACAAACCCGTTTTGTCTTGTTTTTGAACAAAAGCCAAAGAATCATAAGGATCATATACACCACTTCCTCTAGTGTATCCTCAGTCTCACAGTGTTGAAATGGGACCAATCAGCCTATGATGGATTGCACATCACCCAAGGAAAAAGGAAGGCATGGAAAAGGCAAACGTGTTATACTGCTTCACAAACACATTTACAAGGTACAGGTGAAGAGAAGATATAGGAAGGAGGGAAAAGAAAACCTTATTGCTGTTTTCATACAAAATACAGTATGAAGATACCTAAACTAAATCAAATCTGATTACAATGACCAATATTTTCACAATGTGGGATGAGTGTCTTCTTATACAATGAAATGTTCCGTTTAAAAGGTAAGCGAAGAGAGGATGTCAAAACTACACCTGGGATATTAGCTGCATATTGAAACTTGGGGATCGAGACTGCTTGGTTAAGGGGGCTCCTGGGCTGAGGAGCTCTTTACCTTCACCAGCTTGACCTAGCCGGTCTTCCTGTAGACTGATAGTTGAATATCGATTAGCATTATTAGCTGCTAGATTAGTAACTCCCTCAGTGCCAACCCCAATGCTGGTACTTGCTTGACTGCCATTTACATAGTCAAATGATTTACTTGAGGAAGCACTGGCTGTCCTGATTAGACTTAAACTATTGGTTTTTGGCACCACCTGGCCAGCAGGCAGGCTCAGGTGTTTCTTCATTGGTGTCAGTTCAATGGAATCTACACTAAGATCAGTTGGTTGTTGAATATACTGCTTGCGAACTACTGAATCTCGAGGGATCTCACTGGATTTGATGGCAGAAGCTGTTTCTTTATCTTTGGCTGAACGCCCAGTTGCTACTTTCCGTAAGCTTCCCCTCTGAGAAGAGGATGGTTTGGTCCCAATTGGCTGGCTGCTGAGGGAAGCCCCTGATGAAAATCCTTCATCTGCATCATTCAGGTTTACAGACTCCTCTCCTCCATTTACACCCTCAGCACCTAAAAAATAAATCAGAAAGACTTAGTAATAGCTAAATTAAGTTAAGTAGCAGTTGTGAATAACAACACTGACCTTTTTCTTAACACTTGCTATGAGTTCATAATGATCTTACTATCAACACTTCTAAGTAATTTAGGAGAATAAATCTATACAGAATTCTAATATACTATTTATTGTGTTCATTTAGTTTTAATTACTTCAGTTTTTATAAAACTATTCACAAACTTACTTAATATACTATTAATATTTAGGCATATAAAACCAGGCATAATACATTAAATATATAAATACATTTATATTTATAACTCTTTATAATATACTGTTTTTCATTTGACATGAACATATTTACCTATTGTAAAACAATTGAAACCTTTTCCTCATATCTTCTTTAACCCACCATAAAATGTACAAAAGGGAGTCTTCCGATTTCAGTTACCTAGAATTATACCAAAACCTGATTTATGCCTATAGGCCAAAACTATAATAAGATTTTATATTTATCAAGTTAACTGCTTCTCTATGGCTTAAAGGCTTTTAATATTGAACTAATAGATTTTCTAACTCAAATCTAAGAAACTACATTGCTTCCAATAATTTCACAACCATATTTTGTCTTATGGACAGGACTACTCACTGGTTTCCATACTTTCCTGAACAATTAATATGAAGAAAACATTATCAGGGAACAGTGGTAAAAAACTAGCAGGGATACTTAAGAATGATTTTCATTTCCTACATTATATATTTTAATATTTTAGATTCTAGCATTGAGATGTACTACTTTTTTTAAAGTATTTTAATCTTTTATTTGTAGTTGGACACAACATCTTTATTTCACTTATTTACTTTTATAATCACAAAATATTATAATGCCCCATTACATTTCACTCATAAACTGTAGTTAACATAAAAATCTGTATCTTGAGTTTTTGTGGGAAGAGAAGTATATATAATACATTGATCATGCTATTCCAGAAAGCCCAATTCTCTATTGATTGTATTTACTTTCTAAGAGACTATATGACCATACTTTTTCTTCTTTCAAAAACTGATATTTTTCCCAGACTGCAAATAAGTTTAATCAAATCTACAAAATAGATACCAGCATTATAGTTAGAGTAAAATGTTAGGAAATAATCTACACAAATATTACTTTGAGATACAAGTTACCTAAGTGAAAGATATATAAAATATTAAAAACACAATCTTTTACTTAACATAGTACCTGGAAAAATAAAAATACATTCTTGGTTATATTTTCTCATGGATTTGTTATTTCTTTCCTTCTAAAGAATGAAATAAGCTATCCTTAAAGCAAAAGGCACCTTGTTTTATATATATATACATATATATATCCAGCAATTTAATGTTTAATCATGCAAAGCTATGTGAAAATGCATTTACTAAGAAAAGTAGCAGCTGACACCATGTCTCTCAACCTCTTCAAGAGAACTGTATATAATGTCCCATGAAAATTGAAACTTTAATTTACATATTGTTTTAGTAATTTACTTAAAATTACTATAAAGAACTCTAAAATGCCCAAGAAGAAATAGTTACTAATTCAAAAGTAGTATTGGTAATATAAAACAAGGAATGAACAGAAATATATCATTGGATTTATCTATTAATTAGGAAGGAGACTGAGAGATTTAGTGCTAGCTTTGAATCTTGCTACATGCAGATCTTATGCCAAAGCAATATGGCCATAAAAGAGATGATGGTAACATGAAGGCCACCATGCAAGAGAACCTACTGGTATTTTATGTACTAGGAAATGGTTCATTATAATGGAACAATGACTATACTTTAATTATAGGAATCATCTTCAGTTTAATAGGTAGGTGATAGGTTAATATTCTCCCTGAATTTCAACATATAATATCACAGTTTTAACTATAAAACTATTTAAAACCATCATACTTTAAAACATTTTTAAAAGATCAATTGTCTACATTAATTCAAAAGCTCTGGCATACTACAGAATTACCAAAACTTCTCATAGGTTTTAGTAATTTCCTTCCTTCTGTTTAAAAAACCTTAAGAAAGAAAACAGGCAATTCTCAAAACATTTTTCTTTTAGTTTTCTCTCTAGGTAATTATAATACTACTCATGATCCAAAGAACAATCTGTAAAAAAAAAAAAAATTGCCTTTCCTATTCTACTAATATTGATTTAAAACTATAATTAAGCTAGACTAAAGGGTAAGATAATTGTTTAGAAATTTCAAACACACTCAAAACTTATTCCCTGCTGGATGTGGTGGCTCACAGCTGTAATCCCATCAACCCAGGAGGCCGAGGCAGGAGGATCTAGCCTCAGCAATTTAGCAAGAATCTAAGCAACATTATGACACCCTGTCTCAAAATAAATAAAAAAGGCTGGGGATGTAGCTCAGTGTAAAGTGCCCCTGGGTTCAATCCCCAGTAAAAAGAAACAAATTTATTCCCCTTTCCTTGTGGTTTTATATCACCAATCCCTCACTAAAGCTAACATTCTACCAGTAATTAAAAATATGAAAATAAGGCATTTAAAGATTTAATAGGATTCAATAGAATATTAAAGAGAAATTAACTGTTTTGATTCCTTTTTCAAAATGTATGACTTCTGATGAATTGGAAGCAATATTTCAGACTAATCTAACACTTCCTATAATTTTATCAATACTAATTACCCATGCTACATTTAACACATACTTTCAATAGTCCTAACAATGGTAGAAGATACTTCTTAAGTAGCTCATTTAATCATCAAGAATATAAAGAAATAAGATATTGTTCAATTTAGGCCAACTCTGGGTTCCATACTCTCACTAAAATTGATTGCTAGGGAAAGTATAAAAAGGGAAGGCTGCATCTTCCATAGCCATATAAAGAAGAATCTGAAACAGTACCAACTTCTCTGGGTTCCTAGATCATGCACATGCAATACTGTAAAATGAAGGTTGACTGTCCTGGGCAAATGGGCAAGGGCACAGAGTATAGGTTTAAATTCTTACTGAGCATGCTCAAATTTCTAATGCACCAAAAAGAGAAAGACTTCCTTAAGGTGGAAGTTAATTGCTTTATGTATGTTTTGCTTTAAGCAAAAATATGTACCTCTTTTAAAACTACATGGTTTATTATGCAAATCAGTATAAAGGTTTCACAGTGGCAACACATTGGGTAATGAAAAAGCTATTTACCTACAGTTCCCTCTTTCATGCAAGGCAGCAAGTAAATACTTTCCTGGAGGACAGAAATGTTCTTTTACAGAGAGTGATGGAAGATGGTAGGTAAAAAATTCTCAAGATACCTACATTGTAGAAACAAGAAACTACTAGGATATCTGATCTCTAAATAATACATTTCAATTCCATTTGGGAGCTACATAATAGAACCATGATTTACAATGAATTATAAAATGTAGTGTGCACCAGGACAGCACGTATATGGAGGAAAGTGTCAGTAATTCTCTAGACCTAGGCAACTTAACACAAGGACTATAAAAATTCAATCAATATAGCATACTCTGTCAAAAAGGTAAGAAATTCTTATTAGATGTTAATTTAACATCCTAGAATTACAGATAAATTATCAGCCCCATTTCAATTTCCCAAGTATACTCATGGTTTGAAACTCTTCACAGATCTTTAAAGAATAAGTTATTATATAAATACATTTATATTAACTATTAAGGCTCATGTCCATTGGGTGCATTTTTTCTTTCCTAATGTTAGAATAAACATGCTCAGTAATGAAAAAATTCCAAGCATTTGCAAATCTTTTGGATACAGGCCCCTGCCTTGTTAGTAGCCATGCCAAGCTGTTCTTTGATTACACAGGGATGCACACTCCAGGCCAGCACAAACAGTAACTAAAGATTGTACCTAACCTGGTGCTAGGCATATAGGGAAGAGAGGTGCTTTGCAAGGAGAAGCTAATACACCCTGGGGTAGTGGAAACACACACTAGAATGGAAAGATGTTCTGCTTGGGGATAGAGAGCCAGGATCCTTCTCCAGCAACTGCCTCACTGACTTCTGCCTCCTCATCTCTGTCCTACCCTCTGTTGTGGCTGCTGCCGAGTTGGGCTCCGGCGAGCCATGCTCAGGGGTCCTGCGCACCAGCACCTCCCCCTCTTGCACACGTTTGATCCCTAGGTCAGTGGAGCCGTGTTGGATCGGGGAGCCAGGAATACTCGAGTCAGCCTCGTTTGAGAAGTCAAAGCCATCTGGGATTCAACATATAAAATTTTAGTGCTTTTGTGCTGCTCTATTCTTTTCTGAGCATTCTGACCCAGGCAGATAAGAGAATGTTTATATGGATATGATATTAACACAAACACTATTTATATAATTACATGTGTGTGCATAGCTTGCACGCACATAAGGCAGCAGATGAACAATGTGAGGTTTGCAAATGAACAGGACAGAAAAATAGGGATTAAATGGCAATTAATATCTCTTAGGCAAGACAGCTTGACTATTCAAGAACTGTATGTCTTATGAAATACTGCTGGGTTCAGCACATATAAAAAAGGAAATGCAAAGATATAAATCCAAAACCACAGTCAATTATTTTATGGATAGCTTGTATTACACTGTTAGTTTGGTTTGTCATAGTTATCTCCCACAGTGCTCATACATGCACCTTTTATTTTTTTCCTCAGTAAGTTAGCAGGCTTAAACTGTTTTCCTGTTGTTACTACTAGTTCAAAAACAGACAAAAATTCATCTGATCTTATTTTTGTTTTAATATTTATACAGCAGTATAACATCTTTCTACCTTATGTACACATATATTTATAATATAACAGTAAGCATTTAATCACATTTCTAAGAGCTATCTTAAAAACTAAAAAACTTTTATTTTAATTATATAAAGTGCTATAATACCATGAGTTAATATAGTCTATACAAACAGTGAAAAATTTACTTGACTCCATGAGCATACTATGGGGATTTTGTACTTACCTTCTCTTCTCCATCTATGCCGACGGATTGAAGCTGTTGTAATTGCAGTCCGAGAAATCCTCGGCACTGTTGGGGTGACTTCCACTTTAAGCACTTTCTGGCCCTCTTGTGAAGAATCAGGAGCATCAAATGGTAATGAGTTTTTCATGGCATTGGCAACCTAAAATGATAACATAAGGTGTACAAATTTACAACCAACAGGCAGCTTTTGCTTATTCTGTACTTCATGCTTCTGTAACTTTTGGAATATGTATTTAAAACCTATCCTAATATAACAAAAGTACAAATGTGTCAGAAATATTTGTATCTCCAACATTCTGTATTACTTAAAACAGGTTTTTCAAAGGAGAATTTATTTTTAAAAATGTGAGTCACTGGGTTGGGGGTGTAGCTCAGGGATAGAGAACTTGCCTAGCATGTACTAGGTCCTAGATTTGATCCCAGTACCACAAAAATAAGAAAAAATAGAAAAAGTGAGTCATACCCCACTAATTCTTGGAGTTGTTGACTTTCAAGGAGAAAAAATATTTACCATTTTGCACCCTGATGTAAGAAAAATTAGAATAAGCTTCTAGTCTTCACATGATAAATAACAGGCAAAAATTAAGTGGTTTTGTTTCTTCTTCATTTGTTAATTAGGCTTTTCTCCACTTCTCTATTTCCATAAAGAGAAGTCTTCCTTAAATACTTCTGGCATTGTGCCACACTACTTTCTGCTAGCTTGGAGAAGTGAGAAACCTGGTTGGTGAGTAATTGAGAGTTGACTAGTTAATGTTTCTTAAATGGGTTACTAACCTAGCAAAGATCTTGACCTAAAGGATTATCTTTCTCCTTCCCTCTCTATTTGGCCAAACACATATGGAATGTATCAACCTGGATAGATGTGCCTGACCTGCCCACTCAGGCCTTCTCTCCAGTGGACTACTAGATAGATGAGTAAGGAGTTAAGTATCTGAATTTAGTCTTTATCAGTAATATAGATGATGCTTGTTTCTCCATATGCCAACTATTTGTTCATGTAACTTGCAACTTGAATAAGGAAAGGGTTATCATTTATTGGGTCCTTCAGAGATGCCAACAAAGAATAATTGATTAACCTGTACTGCTTTGGAAATGTCACTTTATTAAATTTTTTTAAATTTTCAAGGTGGTTACAAGGATAAACCATGAATTTAAAGAGCCTTAAAAATTCAAGTTATGATGATGATGATGAAAATTTTTTGTCCTATTACCTGTTTTAATGTAACCCTTAGTGTAAAATAGGGGATACTAAAATGAGAAAAATAGGAATTTAATATCAAAGAACTATTGCAAATGGTACCTTAATAAATTTATATTCAGCTTAAAATATTTAAAACAAAGACATAGCCAGGCATGGTGACATGTCTCTAATTCTAGTGATTCAGGAGAATGAGGAAGGAGGGTGACGAGTTCAAGGTTAGCTTCATCAACTTAGTGAGACCCTGTCTTAAAATAAAAATAAAGAAGAGCTGGAGGTGTAGCTCAGTGGTAGAGTGCCTACCCCCCATCCCCCCAAAAAAGATAAACTTTTTTCAAAAAAGTACTGCAGCTGGGCGCAGTGGCACACGCCTATAATTCCAGCAACTCAGGAGGCTGAGAGAGGAGAACTGCAAGTTCAAAGCCAGCCTCAGCAAAAGTGAGGCGCTAGGCAAGTCAATGAGACCCTATCTCTAAACAAAATACAAAATAGGGCTGGGGATGTGGCTCAGTGGTCAAGTGCTCCTAGGTTCAATCCCAGGTACTCCCCCACCCTCCACCTCCCAAAAAGTACTGCAAACTGGAAAGAAATTAAAATGATCCATAGTCAGATCATCTAGTCAACTATTATTATTTTGATTCCTATGTCTAGATTTTTAAAAAGCTGTATACTAATTTTCCACTTAACACAAACTAGCATTTTTCTTTTCTCTTTCTCTCTTCATTCCCTTCCTTTCAAATGGAACCCAGGGTCTCATGCATGCCAGGCCAAGTTTCTACTACTGAGCTACATCCCTAGCCCCAGGATTTTTGTTTCATATAAGTTGTCAAGCTATAATTTTATCAAGTAAATATCATAATAAATCATTTGTTGCTTGGAACTTTTTTTTCTTTTGGTACTGATTGCAACTTTTTTTTTTTCTTTTGGGATTTACCACTGAGCCACATCCCCAGCCCATTTTATTTTACTTTTTTAAAAAATTTTGAGACAGGGTCTCATTAAATTGCTTGGGACTCACTAAGTTACTGAGGCTGGCCTTGGACTTTGCAATCCTCCTGCCTCAGCCTCCAGAGCCACTAGGATTACAGGGGCATGCCAGTGAGCCTGGCTTGCTGTGGAACATTTAGACTAGTTTTATTGCTTTGCCATTTAACATAACATTGTAATGCTGTGCTTATAATACACGTTTTTGGTATTTAGTTTCCTGGGATACACTACCACACATGGAACACAGAATGAAAGAACACATACACACATTTACCAGACTGCTTCCACAATGAGATGATCAAAGTTGTGTCATACTACCACCACAGCACAAAGAATGTCTTCCTCAGTGGATATTTACATTTGTCTTTATATTTATCATTTACATTTTTGACATTTATTTTGTAAAGCATAAAACTTTCATATGCAGGATAAAATAACTGGCTTTTTCTTGTCATGCCTAATGAGAATATTTTTTTTCTTTGTTCACTGCATATTCTCTTTGCATTTAAAACACTAATTGTTTAGAATTTAGGTATTTGTGAGGGGGCATCAAACTCATTTTAGCAATTCATCATCTCACTTCTATCACACCCTTTATTCTAGAGATTTCAATAACTTATATTTAACATTTCTTCTCTCTTAAAGGTATTTCAAGACATTTAATTCTTTAATTTACTGAATTTTACTTTTATTCTAGCTTTCTAATTTTTTAAACTTAGTAGTACCTTCTTTACATACAGACATGTTATATAAAGAGTAAGTCAGTCAGATACCTGTAATTCCAGCCACTTGGGAAAGTGAGGCAGGAGGATAACAAGTTCAATGCCAACCTGGACAACTTAGTGAAAGGATGTCTTAAAAGGGGGGAAAAAAAATGGAGTAGGATGCTGGGGATGTAGCTCAGTAGTAGAGTGCCCCTGCGTTTAATTTCTAGGGCTAAGGGGGGGGGGGGGGGAGTAAATATAACTTACCAATAGTGGTTGAGAAAAAAGTTCTAGTTGAGCTCTATAAATGATGTCATCGAGAACTTCCTGGCCAAGGTCCCACTGTCCATTATACCTGTAGATAAGCATATCATATACTATCTTTAGCAAATATCTCTAATCCTCACATAATTTTTAAAAAAATTTTAAGTCCTACTATTTGGGTTGTAAATAAGATTTTCACATCAAAATTTTCCTTCCTGGTAATGGGGATCAAACCCAGGGGCACGATACCAAGGAGCTATACAGCCAATCTTTTTAATTAATTTACCTGGGATAGGGTCTCACCAAATTGCCCAGGCTGGCTTCAAATTTACATATCTTCCAGAGCTGCTGGGACTATAGGCATGTGTCATCACGCCTGGCTTCACATCGATTGTTATATTACTTCATTTCTACAATCTTTTAATTTTGGTTATAATAACAAAGGAAATTTCAAATACTATGTTTAAAGTAGTTTATAGATGCTTCTTCAAATAAATTGATTTTTATCACATGTGGCTAATATTCAATCATATACTTAATGCATTCATGAAAACTTGAGTTATGAACTTTTTAGAAATAATTTTCCATACAGAAAACCTGAAAATTTTTAGGATGACTCTAATTTTAACAACTAATTATATTATATATGTGCTACTTTAAAAATAAAGGAAACTACATTAGAAAAACAAGATAGTGTGCTCATCCTGGGACAAAAGACCCTTTGTTACATCTAATAAGGAAGAATTCATAAATTTCATCTACCACCTACTTACATGGCATAATAAACCCCTGTGAGAAGTTGCACCATAAATTCAGGATCCAATACTATTCGACCACAGAGTTCTTTCCAGTGTTTTTCATGTTGTCGTGGAAACCCACTCACACAAACCCTAGAAAAATAAGGTATGTGTGATTTCCTGATTCACTAAATATAGTAATTGTGCTTTTATAAATTCATTTGTTCAATTATTCATTCCTTAAATATGAATTGATGCCTGCTATATGCCAGTCACTGTTCTTGGCCTAGGATACGGTCATGAACAGGTAAAAGATTAAAAAATAGGGCTGGGGATGTGGCTCAAGTGGTAGCGTGCTTGCCTAGCATGCGTGAGGCACTGGGTTCAATTCTCGGCACCACATAAAAATAAAATAAAGGTACTGTGTCCACCTAAAACTAAAAAAAAAAAAATTAAAAATAAAACCTGTATCTTCACAAAGCATACATTCTAGCGGACTATATCCATTAAAGCTAACTTTTATCAAATAACTAAAAACCTCTTTCACAAATATTCATTTTGCTCCACTCACTCACACACACACAAATGACTGGCTTTTATTCATCCAAACAAGGCAAATTACTCTGAAGCACAGAAATCTCAAAACAGACATTTCAAAAATACTGTTGGCTGCGAGGTCATTTTAATTTTATTTGAAGATTTTTTTTGTTTGATTTAAAATATGCACATGAACTATCTATTCATTTCCTTCACTGTGCAACCTGGCACCAGGATCAGTGGCTCTGATAACCAGCTGGGCTGCTATTTCCAGAAGCAAACACTGGAAAAAAATCTCAGACAACAAGATCTGTTACACATATGCAGTACTTGAAGCACCTTGATGTTGTGGAGCAGGGGCTTTCAGAAGCTACTGGACAGCATATGCTTTGTTTCTTTGTCGCTCACAGAACCAAGACCTGTCCCTTGAATCTTCTCTACACCCTGCTGTAACACCTCTGGGTTTCTGTCAGTTATACTTAATTTTGATGTATCAGTCTGACCCATACCAGATAAACTTCTTGGTCTTCTTTTTGAGGAACTTGAGCTTTACAAGAGATCTGAAGGAAGCCATGATGCCAAACAAACAAACAAAAAAAACCTGCCACCTTTTTGGGCAGGGTTAAAGAAGAGAGAGCTGTGCCATAAACAACTCTCTACCTTTCTATATGATAGAGATGTTTCCTTAATAATAAACAGAAGATAAAATGTTCCATAAAATTTATGGTTTTTGTGTAAAAAGATTATTAAATCCTTAAGTGCAATAGGTTCATAATTCTCTCTCTCTCTAGTAAGAGAAGAGTCTGATTAACTTGCCCATGCTGGCCTCAAACTTATAAGTCTCCTGCTTCAGTCTCCTAAGTAACTGGGATCATAGGTGTGCACCACCATACCCAGCTCAGATTATGTAAATCAGTTAAAATATTAAGATAATTGTTATATGTATATACACACATATGCACAAATATGTACACACATACATATCTATAGCAATTAAGTGATGAATAAAAGACTTTAAGTTGAAAACAGGGCTGGAGATGTGGCTCAAGCGGTAACGCGTTCGCCTGACATGTGCGGGGCGCTGGGTTCGATCCTCAGCACCACATAAAATAAAATAAAGATGTCGTGTCCACCGAAAACTGAAAAATAAATATTAAAAAAAAAGTTGAAAACAGCATTATATTAAGAGAAACTTTGTTTAAAGAAAGTGGAGTAGAAATTCAATTTCCAGGAAATTGTGTAATGTTAGACTATTAGAGAACAATCTTGCTTGTTTATTTATCAATGGATGATGGTGAATATTATATCTCCATGGCATTTAAGCTACACATATTTGAAATAACCTAACTTTTTAATTATATCAATATTTATATTGTAGAAATCATATATCATTTGCAAATGTTTAAGATAGGACAAAACAGTTTACACATCAACTTAAAAATGTACAAAAGATAAAATTTTTCAAAATTCTTAAGGGGACAAAAAACAAGTTTCAGGACCATTAAACTCTGCCAGCACTTTTGTTATTAAGAAACTCTAGCCATATGTGGTGACACAAGCCCGTAATTTCAACAACTCAGGAGGCTGAAGCAGGAGGGTTGCAAGTCCAATGCCAGACAAAGAAACTCAGGGAGACCTTGTATCAAAATTAAAAAAAAAAAAAAAGGCAACACAAAGGGTTCAGGATGTAGTGCTTAGGTAGAGTGTTTCTGGATTCAAGCCCTAATACCACAAAAATAAACAAAACTCTACTAAAGGCCATAAAAATGCTGCCAAATATGACAACAAATGCATTTCTTTTAATGAACCTGAAATAGTCTTTTATAATGTTATCTTAAGATAGGCAGTAAGTGCTTAAACAATGTATGCTCTTGAAAACAGAATCTAATTTAGAAACACTCTGTTGCCCACTGATGTTATTATAGATGAAATGATGTACTTATTTTAAGATAATCTGTAAAATTTCAGTTATAACTAATTTAGATTGACCCACTTACCAACATTAATGTTATAAACAGGATCACATTCTCTTCCAAGTAACACAACAGTATATGAACTTCAGCTAAGCATTTGTGGTAGGAGACAATCTTTTGGAAGGCCTCGATCCCTGTGATTCCCTCCTTTCTGGTATTTACCCTCCTCCCTTAAGTAAAGGTATGATCTATGAGGTAATGGGATTCCCCAGGTATGTGCTTATGACTATGTGACTATGTTACTTAAGGTAAAGGGTCTTGCTGGGATCCTTCTCACTCCTTCTCTAAGCTTTGAAGCTGTCATGTTGTAGTCTGCCTATGTTGGGAGGTCCATGGGATGGAACTGAGGATCAAGTCTGGCAGATAACCAATAAGAAACTGATGGTCAGCTGGGCTACCCAATACACAACAGAAAAAACTATAGGCAATCTCAGGAAGATTTGTTGCACATCAGCAGATCATTCAGGTCCTGAATGCTATGGACTAGGACCCTCAGCCCTACAATCACAAGAACAGAATTCTGCCAACAAGGGTTGAATCTGAGGTAAGACTGCAACTCCAGACAACATTTTAACCATACGATCCCAACTAGAGGACCAGCTAACTCATGCCCAGATAAGTGTGTGATGTTTCAAGCTACGAAGTTTGTGGTGATTGTTATGCACAACAGAAGACATAGTATTATACTTTTTTGGGGGGCAGAAGGAGCAGTTGAGTTTCCTCAAGTAGAAATTAGTTGGATAGGACAGACTTAGAATTGAAATTCTGTGACTCTAAATTAATTTATATTACTTGAACTTTTTTCTATTCTACCAGACCTTTAAAGATGAACTATACACCAATGTTCCTCAAATTATTCCATGAAATAGAAAGGGAAGAAACACTTCCAAATTCATTCTATGAGGCCATATCATACTCATACCAAAACCAAGTAATGTCACAACAAGGAAAGAAAAGTACAGACCAATATCCCTGATGAATTTAGATGCAAAAATACTTATAAAATATTAACAAATCATATCCAACAATATATTAAAAAAGATTGCACACCATGACCAAGTTGGTTTTATTCCAGAGATGTTTTTATTCAAGGATGGTTTAAATATACACAAACCAAAAAATAATTCATGGATAGAATTCAGGACAAAAATCATTTAGTAATTTCAACAGATGCAGAGAAAGCCTTCAACAAAATTCAGCACCCATTCATGATAAAAACACTGAAGAAACCAGGGACAGAAGGGACATAATAAGGCTATATAATAAAATAAAATAAAAAAAAAATCAACCTCATAGTAAATGGGGACAAACTGAAAGCATTTCCTTTAAAATTTGGAACAAGAGAAGGATTTCCACTCTTACCACTCCTATTTTATATAGTGTTAGAAATTCTAGTTGGAGCAATTAGGTGAGAAGGAAACAAAAGGGATAAAAATAGAAAAGGAAGAAATCAAGTTATCACTATTTGTAGATGATAAGATCAAAAAAGCTCCACCAAAAAACTGCTAGATCTAATCAACAAATTCAGCAGAGTCACAGGTTACAAAAATCAATAGTTTTCCTATATACCAATAATGAATCTGTTGAGAAAGAAATCAGGAAAACAATCCCATTCACAACAGCCTCAAAAAGGTAAAATAAAATACCAAGGAAGTCAAAAGACCTGTACAACAATGAAAACTATAGATCACCGAAGAAAGAAATTAAAGATGATACAAGATGGAAAGACATCCCATGATCAGGGATAGGCAGAAAATTTTGTTAAGATGACCATATTATCAAAAGCAATATACACATTCAGTGCAATCCCCTTCAAAGTACCAATGACATCCTTCACAGGACTAGGAAAAGCAGTCCTAAAATTCATCTGGAAAAAAAAAAAAAAAAGACCCAGAATAGTCAAAGCAATTCTAAGCCAAAAAAATAATGCTGAAGCTACCACAATACCCGACTTTAAATTATATTACAGAGCTATACTAATAAAAAGTGCATGATACTGGCATAAAAACAGACACCTACACCGATGGTACAAAACAGACAAACCCACACAGATACTGTCATCTGATCCTTGACAAAGGTGCCAATTACATCCACTCAGAGAAAAGACAGCCCTTTTAACAGTGCTGGGACAACTGGTTATCCATACATAGAAGAATGAAAGTAGACACTTATCTCTCACCCTGCACAAAAATCAACCCCAAATGGAACAAAGACCTTGGAATTAGACCAGAAACTATGCAACTGCTAGAAGAAAACACAGGGTCAATGCTCCAGCTTTTAGGCACAGGCAATAACTTTCTCAATAGGAACACTAAAGCTAAGGAAACAACGCCAAGAGTTAATAAATGGGGCAGCATCAAATTTAAAAGCTTTTGTACAGCAAAGGAAACAAATAGGAATGTGAACAGAAAACCCACGGATTAGGAGAAAATATTTGCTAACTACTCTTCTGACAGAGGACTAATATCTAGAATATATAAAGAACTCAAAATTTAACACCAAAAAAACCCCACCTCCAATTAATAAATGGGCAAATTAATTAAAGAGACACTTCTCAAAAGAAGAAATACAAGTGGCCAACAAATACAAGAAAAATATGTTCAACATCATTAGCAATTCGGGAAATGCAAATCAACACTGAGATTTCATCTCATGTAAGTCATATGGCAGTCATCATGAATACGAAGCAGAATAAATGCTGGAGAGGATATGGAGAAAAAGGAATATTTTTACACTGTTGGATGGGACTGTAGATTAGTTCAATACACTACGGAAATTAGTAATGAAGCCTCCTTAAAAGACTAGGCATATGACCCTGCTATACCATTTCTTGGTATTTATATTGAGGAATTATTAAAGTCATTATACTATAGTGATACATGCATATCCATGTTTATGGCATCATAGTTCACAATAGTCAAATTATGGAACCAGCCCAGGTATCCATTAATGGATGAACGGATAAAGAAAATGTGATATATATATATATACACAATGGAATTTTATTCAGCCATAAACAAAAATGAAATGATGACAGTTGCAGGAACGTGAATGGAACTTGAGAACATATGTTAAGCAAAATAAGTCAAACTCAAAAATAAGGGTCTTATGTTTTCTTTCTTATGTGCAAGCTAGAGAGGAAAAAGGAAAAGAAAGGTGCGGGGGAGGGGATCTCATGAAAATCAAAGATTCTCAGTAGAATAAAGGAAGGGGACTAAGGGGAAGGAGGAGGGGAGGCAATTGGTAAAACGAGGGCAATGTTATTGTTCAAATTACATTGCTATATATTGTGCATGTACCAATATGTAACAATACAAATCACATCATTTTATACAACTACAATGCACCAATAAAAAATATGGGGGAAGAAAGAAATGAATATAAAAACAGAATACAAAATATTTTTTTCTGTAGAGCAAATTTAAATTTCAGTCATGTCTATGAAATTAGAAATTCTAATATAATAAAGGTTATTGTGAGACACAGAACATCACCCCCTAATTCCCCACAACACGTACACACAGATAACTGTTGCAATTATTAATCTTCAATACAGAGACTGTTATTTGTGAAACATATAAAGGAAAAAGTTTACATTCCTTATTTCTCACCATGATTTCTAAAAAGTGGCATCCAGGGAGTGATTAGGCATATCACTCAACAATGCTAACTTGGCCTAACTCCTTGTTCACCTAGGAAATATTCTTTTAATGCTGAAATAATTTCCCAGAAATCATAGGGATGAAGAGGACTCCTACAGAAATATAAGCTCTGTGAAATTGTTTTATTACTGTATCATGATACGTTAGAACAGTGTCTGGCATAGGGAATATACTCAATAAATATTTGTCAAATAAATGAATGAATATGAAAGTTAATTAAAATCACACTTCTCACCTGGAGCCCATACGACAAAGAGATTGGTAAGATGAGGCAGGCATATACACAATAGCAGAATTATAACATAGCATGAGAAAACTCAGGACTTCAAACCTGGAAGAAATAAACAATGGAAAAAAAATACTGCATACAATTATTTCCACTAGAGACTACAGTAAATGTTTTATTCACCGAATGGCTTTAATACCTTAATATTGACTTCCGTGATTTCTCAGATTACTATGGCATCCTCTGTTTCAGTTTCCATTCTCATTATTACAAGCCATATCCCTGGATGCCATCAATATTTTCTTCTTTAAAAAACAAATCATCATCCTTAAATCAATGACTCCCCTATCCCCTATCATTAGAAGTCTACCATGTTACTATTCACTACATGATGAAATCCAAACTTACTAGAAGGTCCTTTAAAATCATGGAATCTTTATTACAAGGTCCTTTAAAATCCACCTTGAACTTACCTCTCCAGCTTTATTCCTCCCCTTCACTGCCCACTACATATACATTACATGCTACATTAATCCTCTCACCGTTCCATGATTATGTTATAAGCTTTTGTAACTCCTAATTTAATGCATGCTGCTCCTTTTTACTACAATACTTTCTTATTTGGAAAATTCCCGCTAAGGTTTCAAGTTTTGGATCAAGTGGTGTTAGGGACTGAACCCAGAAACTCATGCATGCTAGTTAACTGCTCTACCTCTGAGCTCCCCCAGCTCCCAGCTCAGATTTTTACCTTAGACATAAAGCTATTCTTAATTATCCTAGCTGAAGAAAACTGCAGGTCTAAAACAGCATTTATTCTACAGAATTATAACTTTCTCCCTCTTTCTTGGTTTTACTCATTTAGTTACAGGCAACTTTAGGACAAAGAACCTGACTTTTTCATCCATATTGTTAATGTCTAGCACAGTGTCTAATATATTATAATTGCTTAATACATAGTCATTGAATGAATAAATGAATGCTTTTCTAATATTTATAGTCTCTAAAAAAAAAAAGTGGCTCTTAAACTTGGATCCATACTAGTTATACAAGACTTTTTAAAAACATATGTTCCTATGTCTCCATCTAGAGTGACCCAATTAAGAACCTCTGAGGACAAGACCCAGAGGAGTTGTACTTTTAAAAGCCTTTCCACAGATGGATGGTAAATGGTATGTGGAAACTCTTTACATTATTTTTGCCACATTTTTTGTTAAGTCTGAAATTATTTTGAAATAAAAAGGTGAAAGGTGAAAGCCTGATTTGAAAGCAGTCATACCTTCAAATCCTGTCTCCTTATCCATATATCTAGGTAATACTGAAGATTTATTTTCTGAAAGGATAAAAGAGAATTCTTGCCTAGGAGCCAACAGGCACAACTGTGATTTGATGTGTGTGTAGGGGTGAGGGGGTAATACTAAACAAAGATTGAAGTCAAATATGACTTGCTGAATATTGAGACCTCAAGCTCTCCTTCGCCACTCAGCCATCAGAATGCTACCAGCCAGCCCACTACTTAGGGAACTAGATGAATTTGATGACTCTTAAGGGAAAGACTTCCAAGATTCGGACTCATGAAATTTCCCAAGTGAGTGGCACAGTGAGATCACCCAACAGGGAAGCTCACAATTAGCCCACTAATGTGGTCAGAGCTTCTTATTTTTATTCCCCTACTTTTAAATAAGGGGGGAAAAAAAGACTACTAAACAAATGAGGAACTCTATTAATATGAAAGAGACTAAAATTTAAAAAAGGAAAAAGGCAATTTGATGAAACTAGCATATAAAGAAAAAATAACTTTTTGTAACTAATTACTATACTATTAATATTCTCAAAAATAAGAAGATATAATTTCAAAAATACATCTATTCAAAAAGTATTCAGAGATCTGTAAAAGCTTTTTAGATTAAAAAAAAAAAAAAACTGCAAGAATTAAAAACTCAAGAAAGCCAGGCGCAAAGTTGCACACCTTTAATCCTAGTGTCTCAGGAGGCAGAGGCAGGAGAATTCCAAGTTCAAGGTCAGATTGGGCAACTTGGCAAAACCCTGTCTCAAAATAAGAAATAAAAAAAGGGCTGGGGTGTCCAAAGTTCAGTGTAAAGCCATCCCTGGGCTCAATCCCCAGTACCACCAAAACGTCAAGAATGATTGGTGAATGCAGTTGAGGAACAGTCTCAGAAAGTAAAGCCATGGCAAATGAAAAAGGAAAGGATCTAGGAGATCCAATATCCAAATTAAAAGAGCTCCAGATGAAAGATTATATAAAGAGGAAAGTCCGAACTAATTAACAATAACAATTCGAGAAAACTTCCAGTCTGAAGGGCATCAGTTTCCAAATCTAAAAGGTCCACTTAGTGTTCAGAATGGATGGAATAGGCCCACACCAAGCAATTTTGCAGTGACATTCAGAATTTGTGGTATGTAAATTATATTTATATTTAAAAATAAAGTTAAAGCCAATAATTAACTGAAAATGCGCAACAAGTAAAACAGTGTTATTATTTCAACATTCAAAATATTGCAAATCAGTAAGGAAAAAAATATACAGTACAATATGAAAAAAGGATACAGGATATAGGTCAAGAAAAACAATGAACTAATACATAAATGTATTTAAGCCCCAGCTAAAATGAATGAATACAAAATGACATCAAGTTTTAGCTATCAAATTGGTCAAAAAGAGGAAATAGGCACTCTGAAGTCACTGGTGGAACATTCAATTGGTACAGTTGTTTTGTGGAGGGTAATTTGGTAATATCTACCAAATGAATAAGTATACATTCCTTAGCATTAACAACTCACCGCCAGGAATTTATCATACAGATAATTATTGTAGATAATTTTTGTGCTCTCATGAAAAACATACAGAGAAATATGTGTTTCTTGCAGTATTCTTTATAGCAGCAAAAAAACTGATAACAATCTAAATTTATTCAATATGAGACTGCCAAAAAACTGATGGTACAGCTGGACCTGATGGCATGTGTCTTTAGTCCTGTTATTGAGGAGGATGAGGTTGGAGAATTTCTTGAGCCCAGGAATACAGGGCTCAAAAAAAAGCAAAACTGAGGTAAAATCTCCTCAGTACATATATAAAACAAAATAACAAGTACTCATTAAAGAAGAATGAGGCTGCCTAACATATGTAAGGCCCTGCATTCAATCCTTGACAGTGCAAAAATAAGAAAGAAAGAAAAAAGAATGAAGAGATCTATATGCACTGCTAGAGGAAGAAGTTAAAGATCTATTCTTTGGTGTATAAAGCAAATTGTTAAATAATATACACAACTAAATCCCATGTATATGGGCCTGCGTGTGTTTAAGGTTTAATATATGCTATGTACATATAAATCATTTTAAAAGGACACATAAAAAACTGCTAACAGTTTAATTACTGGAAGTAGAAATGGGTGATTGGAAGGATGAAGTTACACTTATGTTACTCTTTGCATTCTCATCTATTTTCATTTTATTCCAAGTTCTATTTTAAATTTACCACAAGTATGTAATTTTATTCTTTAAATAATTTAAATTATAAAACAAAAAGGAATCAGGAAACTAGGTGATTTTATATGAGGAAGTCTTCAGACTATTTATGAGCCAATGTTCTTAATATATTAAGTTTATATTGTGGAAGGATTTGAGTAAATCAACATTACTACATAGAAACAAAAAACCCTGTTATTTAAAGTTGGGATAAAGTCTTCTCCAAGAGTTATAAATATAAAGCACCTTGCTTATAAAAACAATCATGAAAGTTATATTCCAAACAACATGTCAGGACATATGGAAAATCATACCATTTTCTACCATATGTGTAAAATCTATAAGACGGTAAGAAGAAATAGAATTCTGGCCAAGCACTTCATCAGAGGTCAACGACTACAGAAATGTGTCTGTGTCTGGAGAATGCTTTCTCCTGCCTAGGAGTTATTCATCAGGGGGAATCAGTTCAAGAACCCTTGTAATATCAAAATCCACAGATGCTTAAATCCTTATATAGAACAATACAGTATTTGCACATAACTTATGTGTACCTACCTACACACATTTAAATCATCTCTAGATTACCCATAATGCCTAATAAATGCAAACATTATATAAATGATTGTTATAATGTATTGTTTAGGGAAGAGTGACAAGAAAAAAGTCCATATGTGTTCAGTACAAATGCAATTTTTTTCAAATACTTTCCATCTATGGTTGGTTGAATACATGGATATAGAATACATAGATATAGAAAGCCAACCACGTTAAAAAGAGGAGGGGATTTACATACCTCCTCTTTTTAATGGAGGTATGTAAATCCCCTCCTCTGACAGGTTATATCTACTGCTATCTTATGATATGGTACAACACTGACATTACTGGTAAAGTTATAATATTGGTCTTTTTAAAATTTTTTTTTTAGTTGTAGATGTGGTGCTGGGGATCGAACCCAGGGTCTCAGACATGAGAGGCAAGCACTCTACTGCTGAGCTACAACCCTAGCACATAATTTTGATCTTAATGAGTAAATGTACTCCTAAATTGAGGTAAAATCTCCTCAGTATGAATACTAATGAAAACTGCTAGGTTTAATTAATCATCAGCTAATTTCTATGAAAAACATTTCTGCCTAAGTATATCACAAAGTAGACCAAATTGCTACAAAATGCTTACAGTGGCTTTAAAAGGCAAGTTAGTTATTTCTTTAAATTCCTAACTTATATTACCTTCTCCAAATGTTAGTTAGACATATTCATGATGATAGTATGCTGTGTGTTATACAAATGCTATACTAAATGTGTTTATCCAGGTAAACACGTTTATTTTTGCTTAAAAGAGCCTTGGTCAATGACCAGGACGTGGCCTATATAGTAAGTAACTGGCCTTGCCCAAAGAGAAGACTGGTCCTTGCTTTTAGGAAGTAACTAATTAGAAATATCTTTTAGGGTAGGGATAGGTGACACCAAAACGTAGGGTAGTGCTGTCCACATTTGACATTTTAGGTGGGGGGGCTGGCTATGCCAGAAAGAACCACAGTGTGATTTAATGTGATGGCTTCAGGTCATACTGTATCAGTCAAGTTGGAAGCTGAGATCAACCATATGGGCAATCAATTTAACTACTCATTGCTTACACAATGAGGCCTCAATAAAATTCTGGAAATCAAAGCTTGAGAGTTTCCTGAGACATCAACCCTCTGTGTATATGGTCATACATTGATGCTAGGAGGTATTCTGACTCTGTGGGAAAGGAAAATAGAAACTTTGTGTTTTGGGGGTCCTCCCATATTCTACCCCACACATCTCTTCCTTGGGCTGATTTTAATTTGTATCCATTCCCTATAATGAATCACAGCTGTGTACAATGGCTTTTATTGGGTTCTGAAAGTTCTTCTAGAAAATCATTAAACAAAAGGGTGGTTTGGGGGTCCCCACCCCCTCCAGAAAACTTTTGTTGCTATCAGAATTGAGGACAGTCTTGGAACTGTGCCCTCAAACTTTGCAGTTTATCTGACATTAGGTACTAATTCCATTCTATAATCAAAAAAGCAAAGTGTAGAGATTAGATAAAATGCCCCAAGGGCACATTCCACATTGCAGTACTAGAACATGAATACTGGTTTGGCTGACTCCACACCCACACTCTACAAGTTTTATATAAGATTACCATAACATATTACCAAGCATTAGATAGATGGGTATTAACTACAAGATGAATAACCATTATCCAAAATGATTGGGACCAGAAGAATTTTGAATTTGGGAATATTTATGAAATATCTTGGGTTCAGACCCAAGTATAAACAAGAAATTAATTTATGTTTATACATACCTTATATACATAATGTGAAGGTAATTTTATACAATAATTTTAGTGTACCTGCATTTTTATTATGTCCCAATGACATGAAGTCATGTATGGAATTTTCTATTTGCAGTGTTATGCTGGCACTCAAAAAGTTTCAGATTTTGGAGCATTTCAAATTTTTGACTTTCAGATTAAGGATGCTCAATCTGTACTACCATGTATTTCACCACTTTGCTTTTGAACTGTTCTTATATCAAACCTAAACTGAAGTAATCATGGTTAACTATGAAGCATAAATTTACAATTGTTACCATGTACAATTTTGTCCATTACCTGTTTTGTGCAGTGAATGTTTCTCTCTGAGGATGAAGATCACTATAAACAACTCTGATGAGATCATGTTGACATAAAGCCCCTTCTGTCAAAGCCATAGATCCAATTGTTGAGGGCTACCAAAATAAGGTACAGTATCAGATAGTGTCTCTAAAATAAAGTTTGTATCATGTAATCATATTTATTTTTGCTAAAACAAAGGCAGTATCAGATAATTTATTCTTCTCCTTTGAAATCTTTTCCATTTCTCAATTATACAAATTCTACAGCTTATTTAGGAAATTATGTATGTAAAATAGATAAAATTAAAAACATACTGCTTCATTTTTTCAAAGTTATGGAATGACTAGGAATCAGTCATTTAAAAAAATCAATTTTATTTTTTTTTGTACTCCAGAAAAGATCACAATTGCTTATAATCATTTAATACAAACAATATTGAGGACTATAATCTAATGTTTTTGGGGTTTTTTTGGCAGGGGGAGAAGGGTAATTGGAGATTGAACCCAGAGTGCTTAAGCACTGAACCACATCCCTGATCCTTTTTTTATGTTTTATTTAGAGACAGGGTCTCAATAAATTGCTTTGAGCCTCACTAAATTGCTGAATCTGGCTTTGAATTTGCAATACTTCTGCCTCAGCCTCCCAAGTCGCTGGATTATAGGCGTGAGCCACTACACCTGGCAAGTCTTTTTTTTAATACTGACATAAATGATTTCAGGTTTCTCAAGTTAAAAAAAAAAACTCATTAGTGTTTCACTATCTTCCATTTTATTTCATAACACAATACCAAGAACTTACATAAAATCTATGCTAGTATAAATCTATGAAGTAGTCTATGCTAAAAATGAATTCAGGCTAAACAGGAGACTTTCTATTTCAACAGAAAACAAAGTCCAGGGGAATTAATTATGAAAGTTAATTGCTGTATGCAGCTATTAGACAAGAAAGATACTATGTTGACAGGAAAATGGAATATAATTTTTAGAATGTTTCTGTAAATACTTTCCTCACAATTTTATGCACTGAACACTGAAGATCACAAGTTTGATTCACTTCTTTGTTGGATTTTACTTAAAGAGAGCAGGAAGAAAGAGTTCAGCTTGACAGGCATCATCTACCCATATAATTATCAGTGTTCTCATATTCAACAAAATAAAGGTAAGCAAAAAAGTATGTTATTGATTAGCTAGATTTTGTGAATTAGACTCCTTTACCCTGAAATACAATGGTGTTAACATTCTAAGTAGTCAGTTTCCTAAAGAATAGTAAAAATGAAACAATTTAACAGATAGTTTCTAAGGGATATGGAAGACTTTTAAAAGTAAGATTTATCTTTAAAAATCCACAAAAATCTATTTTAAAAATTAAAATGATACTGGTGGTAGAAGAAATAAGAACTAAAGGAAACTTTTTCATTAACTACTTTCCACCTCTCTTCACAAAGTTCAGTCTTAACATCACCAATAACAAAAGGGCAGGCTGGAAATATAATACAAACATATAATTTGCATTCTCCTGTCTTAGCCTCCTAAGTCGCTGGGTTATTAGTGTGCACCACATTGCCAAGCTAATAAACGACTGATTTTATTTATTTGTTTGTTTGTTTATTTTGGTGGTACTTGGGATTGAACTCAGGAGTGCTGAGCTCCATCTCCAGCTCTTTTATTTTTTATTCTGAGACAGGGTCTCACTAAGTTGCCAAGACTGGCCTTGAACCTTCTACTCTCCTTCCTAAACCTCCTGAGTTGCTGGAATTACAGGCATAACCACTACATCTGGCACAAACATCTACTTTTTTAGAAATCAGTCAGAGGCTAAGGTTGTGGCTCAGTGGTAGAGCACTTGCCTTGCATTTGTGAGGCACTGAGTTGGATTCTCAGCACCGCACATACATACATACATACATACATACATACATACATACATACATAAATAAAACGAACAAAGGTCCATCAACAGCTAAAAATATAGATATACTAAAAAATAAAGAAACAAGTCAGTAAACATATGTTAGGATTCTATCTCTGGTTTTTAAAAAATGGCTTTGTATCTCAATATAATAATATATATTATATATATCATATCTCAATATAACAATCACATCTTCCCCAGGTTACTTACTTCATGGTATATTGAAGGCTTGGATAAGGAAGGGATAGTGAAAGACAGAACTTTATTATTTCCATCTTTATCAGCAATTTCCTATAGTCACACACACACACACACAAAAAAAGCACAAAGATAATGAAATAATCACAGGTTTATACTGTACGGAAAAAATAATTACTTCCTTAATTTATAGAATATAACTGGTAACTAAAGAATTTAAAAAATGATACATTAAACATATTACTACCCTATCATATTTTTTATAACTTAATTATCAGCAAATTTGTATACTATGGGAATATTTAAAACCCACAGAGATCTACTGAGCATAGTATTACACTAAATCAATACAAGAAGCAGGCACATAAATCAATTTTATGTTAAATTTACATATAGAACAGGGAGATTAAAACATTGTTGTAATGCAGAATGGATTTTTTTCCAGCTTTACTGAGGCATAATTAACAAATAAAAATTACATGTATTTATTGTGTACAGCATGTTACAACCACAATCAAACTAATATACACAATACCTGTCATCTTTCTTAAGAATGAATCCTGAATTAAAAAAGAAAAAAAAACTCTTGCAATCATTCAGCAATAAACTACTGAACTAAAATAAACCATGTTAACATAACTGATCAGTCCACGTGATTAAAAATAAATTTACATTTAGATAATTTCTACTGAGCTTCAAGAAAATTTTTGTGATTTTTTTTTTTAAACAACATTATCTCTTCATAAAAAGAACAAAGGTGTCCTTCATTTCTCCAGCCTCTAGTTCCTGTAAACTTCCTCAGGTATCAATAAACATCTGCCTATGAATGACAATCAGGAGCGATAAGCTGCAGCATCTTTCTTTTTGCCTACTGCCTTACTTTTATGTTTCTTTATAACTCATATTAGTACACATCACTGGCTTAAAACCCATACTGTCCTTAGTAGACCTGAATGGCAGGTAGTCAGAGAATGAGTAACAGCACAGCATAAAAGGAAAAGAAAAACAATAAACAGAATAACAATAAAAACAACTATCATCACTAAGACACAAACCTGAAAGAACTTCCCAATGGACTCATTTCTGAGTTTACTATGTTACGAAAGAGTACAAATTACACATGAACAAATACCATTCTCGAATTTTGGCAAGAAAAGTCTCCAGAGACCCCACATAGCTTCTTTGTAATCAAACTAGTTATTACCACACCTTGGTGATTGTATTGCAAAGAATGTTTATGCTAAGATAAAGGGGCCTGATTTAAGTTAGACATACCCCCTGCAAAAAAAATTCAATTTTTATTATTAAGTATACCATTTAGCCAAATATTTTGAAGTTATCTTTGTGTGTATTTATGGAGAAAGATATGCTGAAACTTGTTAAAGGCCATATAAAACTCCCTCTGGAGTTATTTGGGCGGGGTGGGGGGAAGAAATGGAGGAAAAGAGAGAAATTAGTACATAGGAAAAAAAAAAGAATAAGAAAAAACTGAGAACCACAGAGAAAAGAGAATACATTTATTATGGGAATTAAAAGTCAGAAACCTGAGGTTAAATTTCTGACTTATAACTGGCATTTTCCTATATAGTATGCTATTTTTGAAGTGTCAAAATATAATTAAAACCAATAAGTACTGCCAATAACTTGCAAACAATCTGCTTCACAAAATATCTTTCATTTATCCAATTACTAAATTTTATTACATGAAACAAATTAATAAAAATGACAGCTTAATGTTAAATAATCTAAAACACTAAATTACTAAATCAGCAAACATTACTAAATATGTAGCCAACACTAGAGAAAACACAGGATACATAAAACAAATATCCTGCTTTAAAAGAAAAAATAATCAAGTAAGTTAGCAAAGTAGAAAATTTTACTCCTAGACTAGTTTTTCATTAAAAAAAAAGCCTACCCTCAAGTATGATGACAATAAAAATGATAAATATTTATTAAATATCTTCAAATTGCCTTTTTTTTTTTTTTGGTACTGGGGATTGAACTCAGGGGCACTCAACCATGGAGCCACATCCCTAGCCCTATGTTGTGTTTTATTTAGAGACAGGGTCTCACTGAGTTGCTTAGTACCTAGCTTATTACTGAGGTTGGCTTCGAACTCAAGATCCTCCTGCCTCAGACTCCCTACCTGCTGGGATTACAGGTGTGTGTGGCACCCCGCCCACTTGGTTTCAATTACTTTTAATTCTACTAACAACGTTTTATTTTGGTTTTGCAGGTGAGGCAACAGTAGTCAAGATATTAAGTAACTTGCTCAAAATTTAAAATAGCCAATAAATAGTACCTCATGATTTTGAATTGAATATGAATGATTCTAAAGCCCTTACTCCTTCCTTCAGACTTCCAGTAATGGAAAATATTTTCCAATGATTTAAATGATAAGACTTAAAGGAAAAAGCACTGCTATAGAATATTTATTGTGAAGCTCAATTATCTAGTACTTTATACCTCTCAACTATAAAATCAAATGTTATTATGTGGAGTATTGTTTGCAGAGTATATTGAATACAAAGAACACAAGACTTCAAAGAACAGAAATTTTTACAAAAATGTCTTAAATTAAGCATGATGAAAAAAGCAAAAGCAATACTAATTTTTAAGGTACTAAAAAAGAAGAGTTTCATGAAGAATGCAGTATCAAATCATAATTAACATTTTAAAATTGCTATATAAAATTTTAATGATCAAACTACACTCTGGGTGAAAAACTACACTTTGATTTGGAAATATCTATGTAACCTCTATATTATGAAGCTCAACAGAAGCATTTAAGTTTTAAGCCAGTGATTTCTCAACCATTCCCCCATCAATGATTCCAACATATAATCATAATATTCACAATTCTTTATTGATGAACTCAGGTAATTTTCCAATTCTGTAAAGAAGGCATATGAGGGTAGAAATATAATGTATTATTTTGTTCCCTTGCATTGCACAGAAAAAGTCTTGCTGCCCAAATCTTCAGAAGGGTCATATGTAAGGGTCATCATGTTCCCATGTTCCCCAACTCTCTCCCACGTTTTCACCTCACTTTGTACAGTCCTTGTAACCTTGTAAGTACTTCCTTTCCTTTCTAACATACCCTCCCCATGTCAGTCTTCAAATTATACTATCAAGTATTAGTTGTTTCTTTTCTCACTCTAGTTTCCATTGTGTTCTTACTCAGATTTACAAAATCATAGTATGCTTTAACAGTATATTGGACTTTTCCCCCTAACTGATATCCTCTCCTAAGAGAACAGGAATCCCATGTCTACTTCTCCTACTCTTTTCAATTAAACATGTTGCCTTCAAAATATAAGGAGTGATGACTAAATTCAATTTATAATCCCAAGGTCTCTGCAACTTCCAGATTCACCTTTCTAATACACTGCACAGTTCTTCTGCTCAAAGCTGCTTTCCCAATGCATACTAAAGAAAACCTAAACTCTTCACTTTAAAGACTGTCTAAAACTGATAAAAATCATTTTTCCTAGCTTGCATTTTTCCTTCTGTGCTTCAATTACTTTCCTTTTTCCAGGGCATGACATGACTTCCCTGCTGCTTTGCTTATGCTCATTTGATTATCATCTCACCTACTTCTAATCTCAACCTGTCAAAACTATTCCTCTTCATAAGACCCAGCTTAAATTCCATTTCCTTAGTAAAGTTGGCCAAAACTTCAGCAAATATTTCAGTTTCTCTCTGAAGTTCTTTTTCATACAAACTTTTCATTATTATTCATGTGTAAACATCTTCTCTAATATAGCATAAGTTGCCCTAAAAGCAGGAACAACATTGAAGTCAACTCAATTCCTTACAGAAAAAGCATTCATAAATCGTGATCAAATAAAATAATTTGAAGAAATAAGTCCTAAGATTAACAATGCCATCAATTATAGTTTCATCTACTTTATAAAATGCTTATCTATTATACTTAATTAGTTCAAATTATTCAGTAGATATTTCAATTTAATTTTCTCAAAATATTCCTTAAATATGATTTCAGAGGACTTTTTAAAAGTATTTTATATATCACAAACTACCATTTTCAACTTACCAAATTATAAATTCCTAACAGAAGTGCTTCAATGCAACCATTACTCTGTCTGTCTCGGCTAACTGTAAGCCGTAAATAAACCCACATCAATTCTGGTAAGAACTGTAACGTGAACCTCTTCAGTCGAACTTCAGAGCTACGATAGAGTTCAAATAGCTGGTGGCAAACAGGTTCCAGGAGCTAAAAGAAATAAAAGTGCAGTAATTATTTCCATTCTTTTGGTTCTAACTATATTTCTTAACAGGCACATACATAAGTATAATGTTTTAAATATAAATCCTCTATATTAGTTTCTTTGTATTTTGAGTTAATTCAACCAATATCTCTGTAATCTCTATGTAAAGAGACCACATATTAAACTGATCAATGCACTAACTATAAAAAGTACTTTGTGCCCATATAATATCACCACACATTTTTGTTCCTTTGTTTTTATTTTTTGGTGGTACTAGGGATTGACATCAAATAATTTACCTCAGGCATGTTAGGTAAACACCCTGCTACTGAGCTACATCTCTTACCATCTTTATGTTTATTTTTCATTAATTTGCCCATGCTAGACTGGACTTGGGATACTCCTATTTCAGCTTCCTGAATAGCTGGGATTACAGATATGTGCTATTTCACCTGGCACACCAATCTTTTAAAATCCTGTGCTACTAAATTTATTAGACCATTAATCCTTTAGCCAATGTACTACATTTATACTTAATAATTTCTTTTTCTGCTCTTACCAACTCTTTTAAAATTTCCATTGGAATAAAATAATTTCAAAAGGTCTTGCTGGAAATACTTTAAATCTCAAGAGAGACTGATTAAATAAATTGTAGTAAATACTTTTTGGGCATACAAAATTCTAGCTAATATTTTAAGTACATACAAGTGAAGCAAACTGACTACCTATAAATCATAAAACAGATTTAAAATTTCACTAATTTATTTGAAAGATTTTGAAAGATGCACAAATAACTTTTTCAATGTTAAACTGGCTAATTCTTCATATGTTATCACATAAAACAACTTATTAGAGACTTCATGACCTTGAAAACAAGAAAATAAGCAGTTACACATATTGTCAATTTAAAATAGGTCCGCTGGAGAGTAACTGCAGAATGAATGTAATTCGCTATAACTTTTAAATGCATATAATAGGATAACAAGAAACTACAAAGTAATTTTTAATTTAAAATTTAATACTAACCCTTTAAAAATAGTTATAGTAATTTCAAATGCTTACTTATAAATGACTAAAGTAACAAATTTAAAAATCTGTTTGAATAGTTATACGTCTGTAATAATATAACACTCTAGAATAAAGTCACTACTTTACAAATTAAAAGTCAATAAATCTATACCAACTGTACAGTTAATATTTACTACATTAAGCTTAGCTCTTGAGGAACAACTCTAAAGTGTAAAAGATTCACATACACACACATATCCTAGTCTAGTCAACACTAAGCCCTTTTTGTGAAGTCATTATCAGGGTGTAGTTTAAAATCTTAAGCTACATTTCAACTAGTCTAGGCCAAACAATATGTCAAATGACACAGAAGTTAGTGGTGGAGGAAAATGCTGAACTCAAGTCTTCTAACATTAAGTTGATGTTTTTCCACTCTACCACATTTCTTATACTAGAAAAGGAGTGAGGGTTGTTTAATTCATACAGTACTAAAAATTAACAAGTAATACATTTTTTAAAATAATCAATTACTGGCATCTTTTTAAAATGCTGACAGTACTGTTTCGCTCTTCTGAGGAATTAAGAGACTGTGGCAGCTTTCATAAATTTGTTAAAAATATATACTTATTCAAATTGCTCTCCTCTTTAGTAAAAGAACCTCCAAAATTGTCTTCTTTAAATTTTATGGACCATGATACAAATACAATGAATTTCTTTTGAAGAGTTTAATCCTCCTTTCTGAGCAGCAAGAGTACACTGGCATACATGACACTATATTTTAACTAAGCATAGCAAAGAAATATAGAGTTTCCAAAATTATTATTGTATTATTTTTCAAAGGAAAGGGAGATACTAAGAATCCATAAACTGTTAATCAGATTAACCCTACAAAATAAAAACTTGCCAATACTATTCAAACCTTTAATTCTAAGTATAAGTATCATGCTACTATGTTCTCAAATTTCAATAAATGACACTGTCCTCACATATGATACTCTGGCCCACATCACAAATGTTAAAAGTCATTTTCCTTGGGCTAAAAAGCTTAAGAATAATTGCCACCTTTCCCAAATTTGGCAAATATTGTTTTGGTACAAGTACTAAAATAAAAGCTACTTGATTAACACATTGAGAGCATTTAGGGTAGAATAATAGAGATCTAAGCTTAACCTAAATGAGTTAAAGAAAAAATGTGAGGCGAAGAAATGAAAACAAGTAGACAGAGGCTATAAATGAGCAATAATTTGTGAAATTCATCTGTGAAGAGAGACAAAAAATGGAATAGGTAATAAAATAGAAGGCAAGACTAAGGGTTTTTAAAAAGTGAAATATGATTGTTTACCATTTCAACTACAAAACAGCAAAAAGGGATAAGAATGAGAGCTGAGATTCTGGCTTAGTGGTGGATATGAACAGAAAAAGAAGAGAGTTTCCAACTGTATTCTTTATTAATACTTACATAGCACACTGAGAAAGAAGAGGAAGGAGGTTAAGAGTATGAGGTCAGAGAAAATATAAAATGAAGAGTAGGACAGTGTACCAAGGAAGTAAATTAAGACTGCAAGGCTACTTATTATGTGCTTACTTGAAATTTGTAGTCTTGAATTTAAAATTAAAAAAAAAATTTATAAAAAGCATTTTCTTTAGGCATGCTCAGCTGTTCAGGTACAGGCATGACCAAAATAGATAGCTAGGTTTTGTCCAGTTTTGAGATTTTTGCCCAAAGAATATGAACTAAGGGAATAAGAGGCAAAGAAGCTAAGAATGTTTGCAAGGACATGACTGTAATAATCAGCCATGAAAATTTAACTACACTGAAAGGAAGAGGAAAGGCATTTAAATCTTCAAAAAAAGATAGGGTTATGTAAAGGATGGAAGGACTCTAAGAAGTGGAATTGCTAGATGTGACTAAGGGATCTGGTAGAGGAAAAGAAAAAGATAAAACAAGACCGTTGGTCTTACCGTCTATAGACTAAAACTAAAGTTTTAGCATAGTTTGGCGATGATGTTAAATTTCTAGCCAGGTGTGATGGCACACATCTGTAATTCCAGCGGCTCAGGAGCCTGAGGCAGGAGGATTGCAAGTTCAAAGCCAACCTCAGCAACAGTAAGGTGCTAATAAGCAACTCAGTGAGACTCTGTCTCTAAATAAAATACAAAATAGGCCTGGGATGTGGCTCAGTGGTCGAGTGCCCTTGAGTTCAATCTCTGGTACCAAAATCTCCTGTACCAAAAAAAAAAGAAACTTCTAGGAAATATACTTTCCAAAGAACTCTAATGGCCTTTAAAGCAAAACTGGAAGATTGCCATAATTTCCAATTCATATTAAATATGACCATTTTCTGAAATGACTTTATAAGATTAATGTTCTCTTTTCTGTCCAAGTTAAACTCATAGTCTTAGTTTCCCCATATGTACCAGAAATTTTTATTATAAGCTAACACTTAAATTTCACAATGTGTGGTTGGGCAGAACCATTTAAGTTACAAAACTATGTGCTTAAAATGTAGCCATTTTGAGCTCCCCTATCTGTTTCCAATCATAATGATAGACCTTCCCTTTGCCTGCCCCAATTTTAAAATTAGCTGACCAGGTAGATTATGACCCTGAGCTCCTGTCAGTGCAAGGGGCAGTGTTGCTTTAGGAATAAAAACAGGCGGACTGCTCTGCCTCCCATGTGTGCTTGCTTTCCAATCCTTGATCAGTAGCACACCCTTCTGCAAAAGTAAATTTTGTCTTGCCCAGCCACTTCCAAGTACACATCTGATTTTTCCTGGCACCCCAGTATCTCTAACAACTTGTTAACTAAATAATCCATCTGTTTATGTTTCAGAATATAATCAAATCAGGTCTCAGTGTGTATATATGGCAAAAGCCAAATATAATATATGTTTTAAAATATAACAAAAAGCTTCTATGAGTAAACTCCAGAACTGTTTTTAAGATCCTATACAACTTATCGTTCTGTTTTGTTTTTCTGAAGCTTGGACACACAGAACCTGACTTGACAGAAGACTTGAAACCCAGACTTGCTTTAGTGGCTTGATGATTATGTAAAATAATATAATGAATAATGGGTCCTGAACTCTCAGGTTACATTGTCTCCATTTCTAGACACAACTACAAGATCTTAAATGTTAATATTATTAATAAGTGTGACAAAATAAAGTAATAGAATGACTTTTCAAATGTCATATCAACTTAGAGGAGGAAAGTTTAAAAAAAATAAAAATGCCATAGCTCTCAAAATATGAAAAAAAGAAAAAAGATATTTTTTATACACTGTAAGTCCTAATGAAAATCACAGCATTCTAGAATCTTTTTGATTTTCACTGTTTCTGCAAACAATATTTATTTATTTAGTGATGCTGGGCTGATCAAACCCAGGGCCTCCCACATACTATACAAACACTCTACCCCTGAGCTAAACTCTCAACCCAATTGATACTTATTACATGTTCTTTTATACATGACAAAATACTAGATTCTAAGAAATAACAAATACAGAATCTATGACCACTGCCCATGAAGAGCTTACAATCTAAAGAGAAGCTATAAAACAAATAAATTTTTAATAAGCAAAGCTTATATGTTAAGACAGCATAAAACAAGGGATAGGGAACACGCATTCATTAATCAAACAGAGAATTCTGAACACACTTGGCCAAGGATACACATTATATACATTATCCATACCTAAAGTTATAAAACATTCAGAAATACACTGCAAGAGAAAAAGAAGCAAATGAATCCTGTGATTGCTACTACAAATATCAACAGATGCAAGTCTAACAAAAGCCAATCCAAATTTAGGAGACAGGAAAGAAAGAAGTCAATAAGCAGGCTTTTAGTGATAGAACAAAAATGAAGATGCATTTTAAGTTAAGCTGCTGGTTAGGAGATGATTACCTGAACTTCTTCAAACTCACTCCAGTACACAGCAGAGGCATTCTTGGAGGCTGTATCTGGGAAGATAAGAAGCTACTTTCCTGTGTGTTCCTTTCATTTTCATTTTAAAGCATACATGAATCCAGTGGTGATAAAACTACATGTCATACTATTGTGTTAATGGAAAGATAATGTGTGTATTTGGCATAAGCTAATATATAGATTCAATAGCAGCATTTTTGTCCTTCTATTATAAGATTGAATGACAGGAAACTGTTATTCTAAGTTTATTAATTTTGACTATTTAGACTAACATCCTCTAATCATTTTCAGGTTAAAATTACTAGCAGCATCATTTTGTGTTACTTAAGTTTGATTTCACTGATTAGAGTGATTATACATAGTTCTATATTATTAATAAAATAACAGTAAACAACATTAAAATACAGAAAACAGAATCAGTACACATTTAAAATTTGGCTTCCAAAGCAGGAAAACATTCCAGAATGGGAAATAGACAAGTTTCAAATTAAATAATCTATTGAGATGATGGTCACTCAAATCAAGAATCAAAACATACTGTCCTCAACAGGAAAAAATTGTGCCAAAATATTTTAAAATATGTAAAGGGAGGAAATTGGAAAAGCCAAAGCAACTATCAGAATGAAACACAGCAGAAAGAAAAATTTCCAGATCCATAGTAAGGACAGAAACTACAAAACTTACGTTTATGTGTTTTAGTACATATATTTCATTTTGCTATGCAGACATTGGTTTTCTTATCAATTTTCCTACCTCATTATTTGAATCTTGAATAACTTTATAGAGGGCTGGTACAAGTGCTTTTTTCCGGTGTAAAGTTGCTGCATAGTTGGTGATTTGAGTGTCAGGTAATGCCTAAAAAAAAAGGAAAACAAAAATGAACTTATATTTGGGAACTTAGGAACATTATTTCATGAATGCCTCCTGAAAAGATCTATGAGAGTCAAGCAGAAAAGTAAAAATAATTAATATAAGAAACAACCATGAGTGTTAGTAAAACAAATTAAGTTTTCAAACTATATCATACAATTCTGACTACTCAACCATGAAAAATGATTAGAAATCTCTCATTACACCTATATTTGCTGAAATGGGCCATCTTAATCTAACCTAAAAATAATAATAAATGTAGAATGTATTGCAATTCTTCCATGTTTTTTTACAAAACAATTTCCATAATAGTCTACTACGTTACATAGTTTTCTATCACAACTACATCTTTTAATTACAAGAAATAAAAACATAAGGCACACAACCTGTTTTTATGTTTTATTGACATGTAAAAGCTTCTTTTTTTCTTAGCAAATTTTATTGTACTGTTTCATTTGTTTCTATTGGGATGGGGTCTCCCTATGTTGCCCAGAATGGTTCTGAACTCCTGGGCTCAAGTGATCCTCCTGCTTCAGCCTCCCAAGTATCTGGATTATAGTGTGCGCCATCACATCCAATATTTATTGAATATATTTTAAAATTTAATTATCACTTCATCGATTCCAACGATTATTTTCATTTTTACCTATTCCCTTCTGGACCTTATTCTCATCAGTGCATTTTAAAAGAACTGTAATTAGAAAAATGTTATTTCATATTTTTCCATTTCTATATCATTGTATACTTGTATGTTTTTCCACTGAACACATATTCACTATCTGAACCACTGACACACAGAATCATATAATACATTCTTATCCCCACCAATTTACCTTGAATTCTGACAACCATTCTTCCACAACACCACGTTCAGATCCCAGCATCTTCTTTTACCTTCTATTCTTCTTTAATGCTAAAAATAATAATTAAAAAGAAAAGTACTGAACCTAAGGATAGCATTACTTATAGAAACTACCAAAGGTAAATGATGTATGTGTACCTTTCACTAAAGAGACTCATCTAATATATATTTTAGATAAGACTTGTTTTTAGTTTGGAGTGCAATTAAAACAAAAATTTTCAAAAATGAATTCTATGTTTAATGATATTTTTGAAAGCTACTATCCTAACGCCGACAACTATACTTTAAAGTGGCAAAGAAAGTATCCTCATTACTAGGCACAGTGATGGATGCCTACAATCCCAGCTACTTGGGAGAATGAGACAGGAGAACCACAAGTTTGAGGTCAGCCTGGGCAATTTAATGAAACACTATCTATAAATAAATAAATTAGTGATTTAGGATTCAAGATGATGGGCTAGAGGACTGCATTCCCAGTTGTTCCGCAGCTCAGGATTCAATCAGTAAGAGTACCTGCTTCTCTGTGAGGTGGATGAAAGAGGGAATTCACTAAAACTCAATAGGATAGGCAGAGTGTCTTAGACTCAGAAATTTGCACACATTAAAAAAAGAAGAAAGATTACATTAGAGTCAAGCCAGATGCGGTAGCAGCAGTAGTGGCACTGGTTCAGCACTGAAAGAAGGGAAACAGAGAGAAACACAATGGACAGATTTAGTACAGAAAAACCTGAGATCAGAAAAGCAGGCTGCCCTTAGCTGATCCAGAAGTTGCACTGTACACTGGTTGTTGAAAAGTGCCCCATGTTTTCCAACAGGCCATTAAGAGCTGGAACAGGAACCATATTGAGGTGGCCATGCTGCAGCTCCTGCTATGGGAGCTGGGAGATCTGAACAAACACAGCTAGATTGTCTCAGCAAGTGCCTACCATGTGGCCTCCCGAGTATCTAGCAGAATAGGAGTAAAATAAATAGAGAAAATATTTTACCCAAGGGGATTCAAGTCAGAAAAGTGCTTCCACCTTGAGTCTGGTGGCTCCTGTGACCAGCTGAAGTGATTGGGAATCTGAATGGACACTCAGTGACTAAGCCTAGGAAGCCTGGAAATGTTGTACTGACCCAGCAGTTGAATAGAATCCTTACCACTTGAATAGAATCCCTGGGAGGCTCGCAAGACCCAGATTTACAGGAGAGATGGGCTACTGCCAGGCCCAAGGGGTGTACTGATCTAATCTTTCCAGAGCAGAAACCACCAAGCAAAGACCCTGAAGACTCATCAGACGTAAGCGGCACCTGCTGGAACTTTACTCATAAAACTCAGCAGTGGACTGACCCTGGGAATACATCAATCTGGTCAGTGCAGACAAAACTCCAACTGACAGTACTTAACATCCCATCCTACCTGATACTGGGGAGAAGAGAAGCTGACATTATTTGAACCAAATTCAGTCTTAGGTCACTCCAACTGGCGGCTTGCTGAACAACGCAAAAAGAGGAAGGGGTTAACAACCCACAGCCCTTACTCTTGTCCATAACCCAAGATCAAACAGAAAAAAGTTACACATAGAGTATCCATCTATTCTCACTGACCATTTTGACCACCTCAGTAGAAATAATTCCTTGATTTTTCACTTAAGAATCTTTCTTTCATTTTTGTGTGTGATTTTTGTTTGTTTGTTTTGTTTTTTGCTGTGATTACTGGTACATGAACATATATACATATATATATTTATTTCTTTTTTCTCATTTTTAGTATTTTTTTTAAATGTAGTTATTTTTCCTTGCCTTGTCTGTTGAGGGTTAGGGTTTTTTATTAGCATATTTTTGTTTTGTTTTGAAGTGTTTTTCATTTGTCTACTTCTCCTGTTTCTCTTTCTCTCTTTTCTTCTGCTAACAGCCAAATTCTATTGTTTTCTCTTTCACAAAAGAGATAAAAATAGAAAAGGAAGAAATCAAGTTATCACTATTTGTAGATGATAAGATCAAAAAAGCTCCACCAAAAAACTGCTAGATCTAATCAACAAATTCAGCAGTCACAGGTTACAAAAATCAATAGTTTTCCTATATACCAATAATGAATCTGTTGAGAAAGAAATCAGGAAAACAATCCCATTCACAACAGCCTCAAAAAGGTAAAATAAAATACCAAGGAAGTCAAAAGACCTGTACAACAATGAAAACTATAGATCACCGAAGAAAGAAATTAAAGATGATACAAGATAGAAAGACATCCCATGATCAGGGATAGGCAGAAAATTTTGTTAAGATGACCATATTATCAAAAGCAATATACACATTCAGTGCAATCCCCTTCAAAGTACCAATGACATCCTTCACAGGACTAGGAAAAGCAGTCCTAAAATTCATCTGGAAAAAAAAAAAAAAAGACCCAGAATAGTCAAAGCAATTCTAAGCCAAAAAAATAATGCTGAAGCTACCACAATACCCGACTTTAAATTATATTACAGAGCTATACTAATAAAAAGTGCATGATACTGGCATAAAAACAGACACCTACACCGATGGTACAAAACAGACAAACCCACACAGATACTGTCATCTGATCCTTGACAAAGGTGCCAATTACATCCACTCAGAGAAAAGACAGCCCTTTTAACAGTGCTGGGACAACTGGTTATCCATACATAGAAGAATGAAAGTAGACACTTATCTCTCACCCTGCACAAAAATCAACCCCAAATGGAACAAAGACCTTGGAATTAGACCAGAAACTATGCAACTGCTAGAAGAAAACACAGGGTCAATGCTCCAGCTTTTAGGCACAGGCAATAACTTTCTCAATAGGAACACTAAAGCTAAGGAAACAACGCCAAGAGTTAATAAATGGGGCAGCATCAAATTTAAAAGCTTTTGTACAGCAAAGGAAACAAATAGGAATGTGAAGAGAAAACCCACGGATTAGGAGAAAATATTTGCTAACTACTCTTCTGACAGAGGACTAATATCTAGAATATATAAAGAACTCAAAATTTAACACCAAAAAAACCCCACCTCCAATTAATAAATGGGCAAATTAATTAAAGAGACACTTCTCAAAAGAAGAAATACAAGTGGCCAACAAATACAAGAAAAATATGTTCAACATCATTAGCAATTCGGATTTCATCTCATGCAAGTCATATGGCAGTCATCATGAATACGAAGCAGAATAAATGCTGGAGAGGATATGGAGAAAAAGGAATATTTTTACACTGTTGGATGGGACTGTAGATTAGTTCAATACACTATGGAAATCAGTAATGGAGCCTCTTTAAAAGACTAGGCATGTATGAAATATGATATGTCAAGAGCTATGTAATGTTTTGAACAACTAATAAAAAAAAAGATTAGGCATATGACCCTGCTATATCATTTCTTGCTATTTATATTGAGGAATTATTAAAGTCATTATACTATAGTGATACATGCATATCCATCACAGTTCACAATAGTCAAATTATGGAACCAGCCCAGGTATCCATTAATGGATGAACGGATAAAGAAAATGTGATATATATACACAATGGATTTTAATTCATCCATAATGAAAAATGAAATTAGGTCATTTGCAGGAAATGGATGGAACTAGAGACCAACATGTTAAGTGAAATAAGTCAAAATCAGAAGGTTAAGAGGCGTTATGTTTTCTCTCATATAAGTCAGACAGAAGGAAAACCAATGTGGGGTAGATCTCCTAAAAATCAAAAGGAGATCAGCAGAGGAAAAGGAGCAAGGAGTGGGAGGCATAGAAGGAAGGGAGAAGTGCTAGAGTGTGATATTGGTCAAATTATAGTTATATTGTATGCATGTACAAATATGTAACAAAAAAATGCCATCAATATGTATAACTATAATGCACCAATTAAAAAAAGGTGGGAAAAAAAATCAGTGAATGAATGAATAACTCAGAATAGCTCAGAATGTAGCTAAGAGGTACAGTACCCAGGGGTTTAATCCCCAAGTAACACAAAAAAAATAAAAATAAAATAGTATATTGAGTGAAATCAACTGGACACTGTCGATGAAAAATGCAGAGTCTATGCAACCAGAATGATTTATACATCACAGAACAACCATGTGACAGATTATAAACATTAAACCTAGATAAAGTAGATGGTGAGAGGCACAAATTCAGCAAACTGATAATAAACATATGCACTATACAAAATATGACCTTTGAAGAGGATAGATTCATAAATTTCCTAAGATGGAAAAATGTACAAATAGGAAAAGCAAATTGTGTATATAAAGTATAATATCAGTTAAAAGTTCTATAAAACATGAAAAAGGCCCAGAAACAAATATACACTAATCCATTAAGTGTTTATCTGAGGATATTCAAACCATGCAATTTTGAATAAAACAATAAGATGTATCATTTTAAAGTGAATAAGACAATAAAAATAAATTTTCCTACTTTAAGACTCAAAAGGTAAGAAGAAAATAAAGAATTTAGGGAGAATGAGGCACTAACTGTGAAACAACAAAAATGGAAATCTTTTTATTAACAAGACAATGGGGCTGGGGATGTGGCTCACTGGTAGAGTGCTTATCTAGCAAGCCATGAGGCCATGGGTTCAAGGATCATCAAAATCAATCAATAATAAAATAACAAAAGATATATTTCCTAAGTATGTTAAATTCCAAATTAGAGTTCTTAAAAAAAATTTAAAATTTTTTTCTCTGAATTTCAAAAAGATTTTAAGATATCTACAAATATGTTATTAGACCAAGTACTACGTAAGCAGAGTACAAAAAAACAGTAACTTATGTTACTATCTTAGGATAAACTGATAGATTTCTTCAAATAAATTACAAGATTAAAAAGAGAAAGAGAGAAGCCTGGCATGGTGGTGGTTTGGGAGGCTGAAGAAGGAGAATTGCAAGTTCGAGCCCAGCCTGGGCATCTTAGCAAGACCCTGTCTCAAAATAAAATAAAAAGAGATGGGGATGTAACTCAATGGTGCAGTAGCTGCCTAGCAAGTGCTAGGCCCTGGGTTCAATCTCCAATACTGGGGCAGGGGATGGGGGAACTTCTCTGAGCTAATGTTTAA